CAAAGTATATGTGAACTGCTGTATGAAAAGTGAATTTACTCTGTAAATCTTCACCCAAATCCTAATAAAAAAAAAAAAACAACTAAGTCTATAAATTCAAATCCTGAAGTTCCTCTCTTATAAATTTCTAAAAAAGCAATTTAAAATATATGAAACTTGCCTTAAAATGATTAAGAGCACAAGTAAAAATTTGGACAAAATGTTAAGTTTTAAATACTTTATTGATCTAAATGTGTTGTACTCACTGCCATCGAGTCGATTCTGACTCATAGCGACCCTAATTGGGTTTCCAAGGCTGTAAATCTTTACAGAAGCAGACTGCTCCCATCTTTTTTCTGCACAGCGGCTGATAGTTTCGAACCACTGACCTTTTGGTTAGCAGCCAAGTGCCTTAACCACCACTTCACCACCAGAGCTTCTTAAATATGCTATAGCATACTGTATAATGTTTTCCCATAACACTTTAAAATTGAAAACAGTACCTTCATTAATAGGGTATATGATCTTGAAGAGTTTTAAACAAAACTGTATTTTTGGCATTTGTATTTTTCTTCACTGGATTTAAAATCTGCTTGGTGATATTATTGTAAGGAAGATTATTGTGGTTATAAATAGTATGATATGTCTTTGTGTTGGGTCATTTGATTGTTAACAGTGTTTAACCCTATTTTAATAAGAAGGTATTCCCTGTAATTCATGACCTCTTATTTTTTCCCACCTGATATGTAATGTGCTAGAGATTTAGTATAAAAACTTATCCAGCTGGCTTCCCTCATCACGTCAAGTAATACCAGAAATTACTTGAGTATTTTAAAATCGATTAACCTAAGATACCTGTCATTGGGATGGTGTCTTTCCTCTTTATGAAAGTGCTCTTTAGTAGAGATGTTTATGACATTTCTTCAGTTCAAGAGAAAAATAAAAATAAGAAACACCAATGAAAATTTTCAAATAAAATGTTTTCTTTACTGCTGTCTCTTTGTGTTTTATTTCATAGACGTGGGCTAGCTAGCACATACATGCTCACGTAATGTACTGGTCCATATTAACACCACATTTGGAGATTACAGAGTCTAGTCTTATTACCTGTCTTCAGAAAAAAATCTCATTCAGTTCTTTGACATTTGGCTTGACTATTTAAACGTCATTTTTTCCATTACTTACTTTCTGAAACATGTGTCCTCTTTTATTTAGATTAGTATCCAGTGGAATTCCATACACCAAAAGTTTCACATTTCTTTGGGAACTGTTGGCCCAAACTCAGGTTGCAGTAACTGTCACAATACCATCCTCCATCAGCTTCAAGAAATGTTCAACAAAACCCCAAATGTGGTTCAGTTATTACAGGTAATAAAGTTTATTTTCTGTTTAAAAACACGTCTCAGCCAGTGTCATTGTCTCATACAGAACTCCTCAAAAAAATCATGTGGATTTACTTGTGTAATGTCTTTTACATGTTGAATTTTTCTTCGAGAATTTTCTTTGATTCAAAGTGGACAGAGTGATCTACTTTGTATTTTCATCAAGGGGAAGTTTTATTATTTTTTTTTTATTTAATTTTTAATGTGATTTGGATGAGAGTTTACAGAGCAAATTCATTTTCCATACAGTGGTTCACATACACTTTGTCTCATGACATTGACTGCAATTTCCCACAGTGCAACAGCTCTCTTCCTATTTCTTTGCCATAGCCACCTCTTCCCTGTGTCCTTCCCTCCCATGTACTCCTATCCCCTCAGCTGCCTCCCTGTGGGTACACAGCCCTTCTGTTCTCCCATGATTGATCTTTCCATGGAGTGTATCTAGCTGATGTACATGTTCAGCTCAGCTCATATGCCTGTCTTTTGTTTGGCTGGAAGCCACAGGAGTGGGTTGAATTCCAGACCTGAAGGGCAGCTCGGGGCATAGTCTCAGGGGTTCCATTAGGCTCTATCAGACCAGCAAACCTGGTCCTTTTTTTTTTTTTTTCCCCATGATTTTGAGTTTTGTTCCACATGTTCTCCCACACTATCCAGGATCTCCTACATAGATCCCTTTCCAGGTGGTTGACAGTGGTAGCTGGGCACCATCTAGTTCTGGTCTCAGTCATACAGGTTGAGGATCATATGGTGTACCATTTCAAGGGGAAGTTTTATGGAACATGCCTCATTTGTGATAGTTTTACATTGAAACTTCTAAGGTTTTTGAGTTTGTGAAAGCCACCTCTTCTCACTGTTTCTTCCTTACAGGTACTGTTCGATACTCAGGCTCCATTAAATGCCATCAACAAGCTTCCCACTGTGCCCATGTTGGGCTTGACCCAGAGAACCAACACTGCCTATCAGTGCTTCTCCATTCTGCCACAGTCATCCACCCACATCAGACTGGCCTTCAGGAACATGTATTGCATCGATATATACTGCCGGAGTCGAGGTGTTGTTGCAATCCGCGATGGTGCCTATAGTCTTTTTGATAATAGCAAATTAGTTGAAGGTTTTTATCCTGCACCAGGATTAAAGGTAAACAGCCATTAGTGTTATATGTCATATTTAGCATGAATAAACATCAAAAGGATCTCTAACGAATCCTTTGAGGGGGGAAAAGCAACAAATTCCTGTTTAAACTTATCAAATTTAATGTTAATTCATCATCTGTACAACTTCCTTCCGGAGCTCTGATACAGTGGCATGTGACTATGTGTATGAGATGGTAAAATGTCCTTTCTCTTATTTCCTGTGATGAGGGAGGTGGAAGATACTGAAGAGAGTTGCATTTGCTAGTAGGAACACCTCACCAGACTGCTAGGAACTTATAAGGAACTTAGTTTTTATTATTGATTATCAAAAAGGTATGGTCATCCGTTTAATGATGATGCTTATTTTAAGTGTAGGGCCCTGGACCACAAGCCTTGAAGATTCTGGTATCATAGCTAGTAGGCCATGCCTATAATTTAGAATCAGATAGCTCCAAAAGGCTTCTTTTGAGAAATCTTCCCCTGCAGCATACTCTTGCCATTTTCCTGTTTCTCAGAGGCTCCTATTTTCAACTCGTACAGCTGCTTCTCTTGATATTTATATCTGTATCACTAAGTAGCATGCTTCTATTTCTTAATTTTATACTTTTTGGTTGAGGGCATTAACATTCACAATGGAAGATTGGGATTTAATTCCTTTTTTACATACTTCTTGCCCCATTCCACGCTGTTCCTAGTACCTAAACATCCTCTTCTTTTCCTCCTGTCCTTGCAGTATGGTTAGGTACTCTTTGTTGTCTAGTGCTGCTATAACAGAAATACCACAAATAAATAGCTTGTTGTTGTTATATGCCGTCGAGTTGGACCCGACTCATAGCGACCCCTCCTTGGTTTCCAAGGCAGTATCACTACAGAAGTAGATTGCCCAACCTTTCGAGGAGTGGCTGATGGATTTGAACCGCCAGCCTTCTGGTTAGCAGTCAAGTGTCTTAGGCACTGCACTACCAGAGCTCCTGATAAATAGCTTAGGAGGCTAGAAATCTGAATTCAGAGTGCCAGATCTAGGGAAAGACTTTCTCTCTAGGCTCTGGAGGAAGGTCCATGTCTCTTCAGCTTCTGCTTACTGGTTTCCAGAGATTTCCATGTGGCTTGGCACCTGTCTTACCTGTCTCTGCTCTCCTCCTTTATTTACCTCAAAAGAGATTGACTCAAGATGTACCCTACACTATTGCTGTCTCATTAGCATAACAAAGAAAATTCATTCCCGAATGTGATTATAACCCCAGGCATGGAGGTTAGGTGTTAACAATACATGTTTGGGGTGGGACGCACGCACGCGCACGTGTGTGCATGCCTTTGTTAAAAAAAACACTGTTGTTTCTCTAAGGAACCTTCTGTAGTCTTCTTTTTGCCCCTCTTGTTCTGAAACTTCAGGTGGCTACTTATGTGACTGAGTGGGCCCTTTAAATTTGGAAATTCACTTCCGGAATTCATTTACTCTTTGCATCTTCTAGAATGTATTGCTATTTTCTTCTTCCATTGTTTTTTGTCTTCCTGACTTGTTGCTTAAAAAACATTTCCCTGTAGTTTTAGTGAGGTACTGGGAGGGAGAGGATGAAATATGTGTGTTATAAATCTGTCATCTTTAACTGAAGTCAGAACATGGACTTCAAAAAGCTTTCCAGTGATTCTGATAAGTTTATGGTCTGTAGTTTTGGAGGTTAGGAAGGTGGAGGGCATCAAAAGAAAGAATCTGTGCTTAAGACACAAACTTTGGTGGTAGCCTTGCTCAATATCTTGAAGATACCCTATTGGGAAAAAAAAGGCTGTTCAAATCTCAGTGGTTCACAATTAAGTTGTATAAGATAAAAAGGAAAAAGTTGGCTTAGTCTCTTTGTTCAGTTTGCCTGTGTCGTATTTTCTAGCTTAAAAAGTAAGAACTCGCATTACCTGGAAATATTTCTAAGACTTTGAAGTTACTTATATTGCTGAATACAACTTTTCATGGTTCCCCCCATTTTTGAGGCAGAAATTAATAATAAAATATTTTGACCTGGTGTTAGGAGGTCCTGGGATGTATGCTTTTCTTCAAATTCTTTTGTGGGCATTATTTCTTAGTTGATATGATTTTTGAGTTAGATGTTTTTGTTGTTGACTGTTTTCTCCCCCCCACACTCCCCCCTCAGAAGTTTCAATATCTCTTCTAGCTTGTCATAATCATAGTGGTTGTGTATCAAATTTATATTTTAGGATTGGTCATAATAGGCTGTTTCTGTTAAAATATCCTAAATGATTTTAAATGTTAAAGTTTGGTAAAATAATTTAAATCTTCTTTCTTTATGTCCATAGACATTCCTGAATATGTTTGTTGACAGCAATCAGGATGCTCGGAGAAGGTCTGTAAATGAAGATGATAATCCCCCTTCTCCTATTGGAGGAGATATGATGGATTCTTTAATATCACAACTCCAGCCCCAGCCACCACCCCAGCAACAGGTAATGTCTAGCTGAAATTCCAAACAGTGTCACATTTGTGTAACTTAATGGATTTTACAGGTGCCTAGCCTTCTTCATTGGAAGGCAGAGAGAGAGATCCTTGGTCAGCCCAACATGTCCAGAAAATCTGTATGAAAAAGTAGTACTAGAAGGAGACAAGGAGAGGCATCCAGTGATGAGACCATATTCAGAAACAGCATTAACCTCAGATCACCCATGAGCTTAAACTGTCTTGATGTGATTTAAAGTGTGGAGACACCTTCTGCAAGATCTGAGGAGGTCTTTGGAAGAGTGTCATCAACATATGTTGAAAGACAGATGTCATTAAAGTAGAGCACGGTGAACTAAGCATCTGGTGATGTTCAGGAGGGCCTACTACAGAGAGTAAGTGGTCAGATTGCAAGGATTCTGTCCTCAGACCATTTAGTAAGCCACATGATAGAATCTGAAAGAGCTTTGCCTTCTACCCCATCACCTTCATGTGTCTGAGAGTTGAGCAGGCTATTAGACCAGCCTTTCTTCTCTCACTGACCATCCTGAAATAGAGGGTGACCCACAACCAGTGTACCTTTTACCCCTTTATCTGTCTTGTGAGACTTCCTATCCTGGAAAATACTCAAGTGGCTGTGGAGAGGCTTCTTGCCTCGGGCCTGGGGTCTTCAGTGGCAACATTTACAGTTGTGTGTGGACATGCAACTCATAGGCAAGGCTGTTTGGCATAGTATGTCTTTAGATTAGGTTTACAAAATAACTCACTGCTTCTTACCCTGAAACTTTCACAAAACAGCATTATTTGTGCTGAAAATTCACTTAGTTTGGCATTCCTACAGCATTTTCTACTGTCTAGTGTTATGAATTGTGTCCCCCAGAAAGTTATGTCCTAACCCCTGTAACCTGGCAATGTGACCTATTTTGCAAATAGGGGTTTTCTTTGGTTAAGTGACTGAGGTCATACTGGAGTAGGGTGGGTCCTAAACTTAATCCTTTTTGAGTGGTATCTTATAAAAAGGGAAAGAAGACAGAAAAACCATATGATGACAAGGGCAGATGCATCTATATGCAGCAAATAAACACCAAGGATTGTGACTGCCAGCAGAAACTAGGCCCACAAAAGGAATCAACACAGCAGCTGATTTGGACTTTTAGCCTCCCGAACTGTGAGAAAATAAATTTCTGTTCTGTAAAGCCACCCATTTGTAGTCGTTATTAAGGTAGCCCTAAGAAACTGTGGCACCTACGTTCTGGCCTAGCTGCTTACTAACTAAAGCTCTCCAGTGAGAAGTTATAGTGTTTATGTCTTTGACAGAGTACTAGACTTTTACCAGAGAATGTGTGTGGACGGTATATTGCCCCTAGCAACCATTTTGGATTTCTTTCCTCACTATTTAGGAACCCTCGTGGCACAGTAAGGGGGTCTGGTGGTGGTGTGGTTAAGGCATTTGGCTGCTAACCAGTAGGTCAGTGGTTTGAACCCACCAGCTGCTCTGCAGAAGAAAGATGAAGTGGTCTGCTTCCATAAAGATTTACAGCCTTAGAAACCCAGTGGAGGTTGGCGTGAGTCAGAATCAACTTGATGGCAGTGAGTTTAGTCTGTCGTTTTTGGTGACACAGTTATTAAAGCGCTCCGCTGCAAACCAAAAGGTCACTGGTTAGAACCCGCCATCCGCTTTGCAGAAGAAAGACTTGGCAGTCTACTTCCACAAAGATTGTTGTTGTTAGGTGCTGTTGAGTCAATTTCAACTCATAGTGATCCTATGTACAACAGAATGAAACACTGAAACCTGTCTACCATGGGTGACCTTGCTTGTATTTGAAATACCAGTGGCATAGCTTCCAGCATCACTGCAACATGCAAGCCACCACAGTACAACAAACTGACAGACGAGTGGTGGCTTTGAAAATTATAGCCTTGGAAACCCTATGGGACAGTTCTCTGTCTGTTACGGCTTCTCTGAGTCAAAATCACTTCAGTGGCAGTGGGTTTTGGTTTCCTCACTATTTGCTTCCCCTCTTAACTGTCATGAAGATAAAGAGAAGTTTAGGAAAACCTCATGTGAATGTGTCTCCATAACCAAGGTGTGGGGCTCATGTTCCATCAGCAGGTCTTATGACATGGCTTGTCTTGAGTAAGGTCCTAGCCCTCTAAGGAAGCTGGTCCACCATGGGAGAAACTCAGCCCAGCAGATACACGACTAGCTCTTTTCTGTGGAAGCTGCTTTCCTGGGATGTAGGTCTCCCTTGTACCTGATACGGAATACGGGGTATGAGCCATGTCTTTCTGAGGAAAGAAGTAACTGAGAAAAGTTCTCCAAAAAGGGCTGAGTACTGACACAGACATAGGAGAGCCAGTGTTCCGGGGGCAGGGGTACACTGTTCTTACCTCCCCCTAAATAAATCGTTCATTGGCCCATTTACAGTGTTCATTACATAAATCATAATCTGACCCAGTGAGAGCCAACAGTGCTGGGTTATTAATACTCTGATTTTGCTAAGAGCTCTAAGTATGAGCGGCATTTCATACTGAACTTGAGATTTTTAACTAGAAAAATAATTCCTAGGCTAAGACCAAAGAATTAGAAGTAGGTAGATGGAAGAAAAGTTAAAATGTTCTAGAAAAGTTACAATAATTTTTCACTTTGTGAAAACTTTAGTAATTTTCTGCTTTCTCTTGCTCTGTATTCAACCTGTAAGTAGAGTTTTAATTTTTTTTTTCTAATTAAAACATTTGACATTTAATACTAGCTAGAATTTTTTTAATTTTTCAACTCTATAAGAACTTTAATTTAGGTTGGGTAAATTAGGCAAGGGGGAATTATTTGCTTTTTGCTTTGAAGTCTTCTCTAATTAATTTTTGTAATGCATTTTATTGAAATATAATTTATGTACAATGAAATTCACAAGACTAAAGTGACATGGGTCGATTTTTTTTTGTTTGTTTTGTTTTGTTTTTTGCTGTGTTCCCTCCCCTATTTCTGAAAATTTATTATTAATCTTCTGGTTTTCTATCTGTAGATTTTGTATCATTTCTAATTTTTCATTTGTTTTGTCATTTTCTTCTTGTATTGTATTTTGAAATTGTTCTAGGGTTTTCTCTGTGTTTCCCTTGATCTGTCTCTCAATTTGTTGAAGATACCTAACTATAATTCTTTTGAATTCCTTATCAGGGAGTTCCAATGCTGCGTCTTTCTCAGGGATGTGTTTTGGGTTTGTATCCTCATCCCTTGTTTCTCCTGGTTTGTGTTGCTTCTTTGTGTGGACTGTGATGTTCTGTTGTCTCCAAGGCATTGTGATGTTTTTGTGTTTATATTTAATTGGTGATTGTATGTTGGCTTGACTTGCCCCCGATTTTCATTTTGTTTTTTTTGTATGTTATCTACGTAAGCAGGGTACTGTGCTGTGTTCCTCTGTTCACTAGTTGACAGCACTCATACACTCACCACCTGTCTCCTTTCCTGTTGTAAGCCTCTCATATGTCTCTGCTGACCTTGGGAAACAGCCTATTCTTAGGTCCCTGGAATCAGAATGAGAATGTTGTCACTTTAAAGTCCAAAATGGTGGTTACTCGTAAAGATTCAAAATGGCTGTGTCCTCGGTCATTTTAAATGTCCAAAATGGCCGCTGCTTGTGAACATTCAAAATGGCTGCACCCTTGGTCACTTTAAATATCCAAGATGGTTGCTGCATGTAAACAATCAAAATGGCTGCTCCTTCCGGACAGCGGAAAGTCAACAACTCAGGTTGTCTCCTTCCTTGCTGTTTCCTTCCTAGTCATAGGCCACCAGTGCAGTCATCCCTGCAGCCCTTGGTGACCAGGGCTGAACTTTAGGTCAATTCTCAGGTCCCAACACCACTTGGAAATATTCAGGCTGTTGGTTCCATCACAGTAGCTGACAGTCCGCAGCTCTGACTGTCTCTGTACTCACTGTTTTTGTTCAGGTTTTTCCACTAGTTGGTGCCTAATCTACTTCTGTATGTTGTTGTTATTTGCCATCGAGTCAGACCTGACTCATAGTGACCCCT